ATTTGAGCAGAAGCAAAAGGATCACCTCTCAGGGAGGCAGTAAGGGGATTCTAGTCTGGGGAAGGTTCACCTGAATCGCCTTCAGGCCCTGCCCATCTGGGAACCTGTGATGCCCGCACAATAGCTGGGGCCTCCTGTCTCACCCAGTGGGAAAGCCCCGGGTAGAGAGGAGGGATGAACACAGCCCAGGGGCCCCAAGCTTTGCTCTCTGGCAGGTGTGACCTTGGGCCTGCCACTTGGTGTCTTTGCACCTGTTTCTTCCCCAGAAAAATAGGGGCATCACAGTAAGGGCATCCTCTCAGGCCTGTCAAGGAGACCTCTATGGTCACAGCTGGGCAAGCTATGAAAATTGCCATGTCCTGTGTTCGCTGAGGCAGCAGATGATGGGGACCATGAGGCTCCCTGGGGAGCCTGTAGGAGGGAGGCGCCTGGGCACAAGACCCAGGGACGAGGCTGACAGTATGCCCTGTGCCTTCTTTGCACAGCCGTGGTCTCCTCCTCCGGCGGCTCGGGCTACAGCGGGGGTGGCGGCCTCTGCGTGACCGGGGGCGGCTATGGCTTCGGCAGCAGTGGCTTCGGCAGCAGCGGCGGTAGCTTCAGCTCCACCAGCAGCCGCGGCATGAGCGGCACCAGCTCCAGCATGCGCATCATCTCCAAGACCTCGTCCAGCAAGAGTTACAGGAGCTAAAGGGCCCCCCGCCCTGCTGCCTGCCCTCTAAGGCCCCCGGCCCCCAGGCCTAAGACCCGCCGCTTTGCTGACCCCCATGCACTGAATCACAAGAGGCACCGGGAGCAGGGAAGTAGCCTGTGAATCCCCAGCTCACCTGTTCATCCCTCTGCCTCCAAATAGGTTCCCGCAAAGGTACCCCACTTGCTCCTCATCCCAGAGCCCTCCAGGGCGCACAGGCATCCATTCCAGCTGCCATATGCCAAGATCTGAGCTGGGGCATTCCTTCAGAAGCTCCCCCCTGTCTGACCCTGATCCCTGGCAGCCACAATCCTTTCTGGGGTTGCTTAGAGCTGACTTTTTACCCCCAGAGACGCTGAGTGCAGTCCAGGCCTGCATTTCCCACCATAGACAGAACACTTCTCCTGCTTCCGGTGCCTGCCTATCCCCTCAAATTGCTTCAATAAAAATGTCACCGAGCTCTCTAGGCCTTGACTGAGTCTGTGTCCTATGCCACACTCAGAGGATGACCTCGGAAATGGAGTTCTCTGGGAGCAGGTTCTATCTACCCACAGGGTTTACTCCAGGGCAGAATGAGAATCCCCTCCCCCAGACATCATGCAACAGGACCTCCACCCACCTCTGCCTCTTGCCATCACCCAGAGTCTCCTGTTACACCCCTTACCTCCCCAAGCCCCAGGCTTCCCTCGCCAGCACTCCAGGACCCAAGCCAAGGCAATGCAAAAGGCACCAGTGTGAAGTGTCACAGTTAGACTAAGAATTGCCAAGCACAAGAATGTTTGAGTTCAGTCTCCTAATCCAGAGGTGAGGAAGCCAAGAAACAGAGAAGATACAATGCATACTAACAGTAGATCCCTGAGTCCTAACCCAGGCCCCCCCAACCAGAGCAGTAGAGCACAGTGACATCAGAAATGATGAGATTGGATCCCCGCCCATCCCAGACAAGCTGTGTGGCTTGGGAGTTTTACTCCACCACCCTGCTCCTCACTTTCCTTGTCCATAAAATAGAAACTATATCATGGTTATCATAAGAATTCAACGGGATAATGGATGTAGAGTTCAGCGTGGTTCCAACACATAGTAGGCATCCAGTAAATGTTACTATTATTGTTGACTTGATTTTAACCTAGCAAAAGGTCACAGTGTGAAAGGGAAAGACCAGTTGGCTACAGTGGCTTCACTGATGGGACTGATGGAAAGAAGAAGGCATTTCAGGCAACGGCAAAGAGCTGTGTCCTCGGGGCTGGGAAGAAAGCCTATAACCTGCTTCCACCTGAACAATTCCTGAGGGCAATGACCCTTCCCAGAAATGTCCTCTGGTCAGAGCATCCATCCTTGGGAGGCTCAGGATGGGGAGGGCAGAGACAGGGAAGGGAGCTCTGACCTAATGACTGACATCAGTACATACTTGGGGGGCCTGTTGGAGGATGGAGGGAACAAAACATGTCCACCTAACTGAGAAGGTATCTTGAAGCCAAAAAAACAAGGCAAACAGCTTCATATAATCAATGGATCAGTTTATTACAAGGTAACTTACTCACACGGTGAGATCTGGCTGACAACGTTACGGAAGCTTTTGCAACTGCACTCTACACCACCAAGTGGCCACAGGGATAATGTTATATTTAATTTGGGGTTCAGGGGTAGGTGCTTGAAACAGGATGTGCAATACTAAGTCAGGGTTTATGAATGGGTAACTAGTCTTGTGGGCCCCAGAATATTTCAGGGAAGGTTGTCATCACTGCTTGAGGATCAACAGAGATAGGGCCACCTGGCCTCAATGATTATTAAGCAATATCTATTAACCACAAAGCCCTTGATGGCAAAAAAGTGATTACCACACAGTACAGTCCTAGGTTAGGTCAGGGAAAGGATGGGAGGAACTGTAAGGGTCAAGATGCCGTCGGTTATGCTAACAGCCATCTGGGGCCCAAAGAGTCTTAGGGAGGCCATCCATTCCTCTTCCCTCCTCAAGCACAAGTCACCCCCTCTTGAGTCCCCTGCAGCCTCCTTTGGACTAACCAGGACCCTGGAGACTAGAGTCTGTGTCTGGAGCCTTCTATCTCAGGAGCCCTAGAAGGATGAGGAGTGGGTAGCTGATTCAGTCAGGACCCCACCTGGCCTGAGAAGGCCAGGGCCCAGCCTGCTTAGGGAGGCTTCTCGCATGCCCAAAGCCTCCCTCCCTCTTCTAGCGGGCTTCTAGGACCACTTGGGAGCCCATAGGGGTACTTGGGTCTGAAGCATCTGCAGAAAAACATGGAAACAGCTTTGGGGAAACAGTAGATCCTCAAGCACATCTAATTTGGCCTCTAATCCCAGAGCTGTGAAAGTGAAAGTGGCTCAGTCATGTCCTACTCTTTGTGACCCAGGCCAGAATACTGAAGTGGGTAGCCTTTCCTTTCTCCAGGGGATCTTCCAAACCCAGGGATTGAACCCAGGTCTCCCGCATTGCAGGCGGATTCTTTACCAGCTGAGCCACCAGGGAAGCCCAAGAAGACTGGAGTGGGTGGCCTATCCCTTCTCCAGCAGATCTCCCCGACCCAGGAATCAAATCGGAATCTCCTGCATTGCAGGCAGATTCTTTACCAACTGAGCTATCAGGAAAGCCCATCCCAGAACAGCCAGGTAGAAAATTCATACCCCTTGCCCCACACCCACAAAAGGGCCTAAAGTCCCAACTCTAACTTTCCTTGCGGCCAAGCAACTGAATAAACCAACATATAGGGCTGGCCAAAAAGTTCCTTTGGTTTTTAAGTAAAAGTATTAATAAAGAACACATTTTCCATTTTCACCAAGAACTTTACTGAACAGCATATTCACCGTTTTGTTCCATTACCTTCTGCAATTTTTCAGGCGACTTCATAATTCCATCTTCCCAAAATTTTTTATCTTTTTAAGCAAAGAACTGTTCCAGATGTCTTTTACATTCTTCCAGGGAATTAACATTTTTTTCCATTAAGAGAAGTCTGTAAAGATTGACATAAATGGAAATCTGAAGGTGTAATGGCTGGTGAATACAACAGATGAATCAGAACTTCCTGTCCAAGCTGTAACAGTCTTTGCCTGATCATCAAAGAAGCATAGTCGTGCACTATCCTGATGAAAGATTTTGTGTTTTCTCTGGACTGACTCTGGACACTCTTCATTGAGTGCTGGCTTCAGCTGGTCTAACTGGGAGCAGTACATGCTGGAATTAATCATTTGGTTTTCCAGAGGGAGCTCATAACAGAGGACTCCCATCCAATCCCACCATTTATACATCATCATCATCTTTGATGAAGACTAGCCTTCGGTGTGGTTGGTGGTGGTTCATTTCTCTTGGCCCACAGTCTTTTCCATTTCACATTATCGTGCAGTGTCCACTTTTCATCACCCATCACAATTTGTTTTAAAAAGGAACATTTTCATTATATTTCAGTAGAGAATCACATGCAGAAATATGGTCAAAAAGGTTTTTTCACTTAACTTATATGGAACCCAAACATCAAAGCAATGAATATAACGAAGCCAGTACAAATGATTTTTATCACTTGATTTGGTTATTTTGAGTATGTCAGCAATCTCCTGCATGATGTAACATTGATTTTTCTCAATTAATGTCTCAATTTGATCACTATCAACTTCACCTGGTCTACCTGGCCATGGAGCAACACTCAGTGAGAAGTCTCCAGAACGAAACATCACAAACCACTTTTGACATGTTCAGTCAGTCACGGCCATTTCTCCATACACTACACAAGTCCTCTCGTGCATTTCAGTTGTGAACTTACCTTTCTTGAAATAATAAAGTGTAATTTGCTGAAATGCTGGTTTTTTGTTCCATCTTCAATATTAAAACGGCTACACAAAAATTCACGAGTTTTGGTAAGATTTTTTAATGCACGCTGATATGACAGCTGTCACAATACAATCGAACAAAATTGTTTCAAATGAAGTTAAAGACAACTAAGCGCTACCAGAGCCATCTTACAGAAAAAACCAAGCAAACTTTTTGGCCAACCCAATATTTGTCTGGTTGGCCCCTTTCATCACCCCTGTAAGCAAAGAAGAGGACAAATAGAATTTTTATGGGTCCGACCCGCATGGACAATTGGCTCCTACTCTTTGCTCTCTGCTACCCTAATTATCAACCTTGGTACTTAGCAGCTGCCAATATGCCAAGCTCATAAACCTGATTTCACGGTGATTTGGGGTTTGGCCCAGCTCAGCCCTCCATCCTTGACCAGATAAAAGGGTGGAGGCTGAGCTCACCCGATAACTCTCGCCTCTGTCCTCCCGCCAGGGCGCCGTCTCTCTGCCTCTCACACCCACCATGTCGTGCCGCTCCTTCCAGCAGGGCTTCAGATGTGGCAGCCGGGGCTTCAGCTCCTGCTCAGCCATCCTCCCCCGGGTGGTCACCCACTATGCAGTGAGCAAGGGGCCATGCCAGACTGGGGGCAGTGGGAGTTTCCGTGCCCTGGGCTGCCTCGGCTCCCGGAGCCTGTGCAACGTGGGCTTCGGGCGGCCCCGGGTCGCCTCCAGGTGTGGCCTGCCTGGCTTTGGCTACCGAGCAGGTGCCACTTGTGGGTCTTCTGCCTGCATCGCCCCTGTAACCATCAATGAGAGCCTGCTGGTCCCACTCGAGCTGGAGGTTGACCCAACTGTCCAGAGGGTGAAGAGGGATGAGAAGGAGCAGATCAAGTGTCTCAATAACCGCTTTGCATCCTTCATCAACAAGGTAGGAGGTGGGTGCCGGGTCCAGGGCCTTGGGAGACAGACAGCAACTTGTGGCTGCTCCAGGAGCCACAACCTAGGGCTGCTGGTGGGGCTGCTCCGTGACCCCTAGTCACTGAAAGCTGGTTAGATCAGGCTCAGCAGCAGACATTTCTGCTTGTCTGTCTTTTCTATAATATGTTATCTTTCTCTGTGGGTGTTATCTGATAAACTCACCAAGAGGGCTCCAGGTCAGACTTTAAGAGATGATACTGGGGCAATCAGAGGCAGAGACCTGCCCTTTCTGATGAGGCTTTAATGAAAGACCTTCCTTCCGATGACATGAAATGCGGAGACCCTTGGGCACTGTGACCCTGGAATTTGCCATCAGCTTAGGTCTATGATAAGAAGAAGGTGGAGCAGTAAGAGCTATGGACACAAAGTGGCCATGACCAAGTCTCACATCTCTCAACCCCCAGGTCACGGCTCTGAAAGCCTTGAGAGAAGGGTGATGTGCCGCCTTTGGAAGATTCCAAACTGGCCTGTCACCTCGGGCCTGCTTCTGGGCCTGTCCCTATATCCCAGGGAAGTTCTTGAGATCAGGATACACACCAAGGGCTAAGCTGGTGTTCCTGGTGGTCCCAAGTTAAAGGCAGAGTCCTGGGATGGCAGTCAGGAGACCTGGACCCTGACTCCCAGCCCCACGAAAGCAGGCAGAGATGGAGGGAGAATTAAAGGAGGTAATACTCACAAAAGTGCTCCCAAAAGGAACTTGTAGTAAATGGAAAATGTTAAACTTACAGTTTTATTTTGAAAGCTCATTAAGTTCTGCTTATAAACTCATTCCAACACTGTGAGCCCTGATCGTCAGCTGCATCACATTGCCATCTGTGAGGCTGGGGGCCTTCTGGTGACCAGGCCTTAGACCAGAAGGAAGATGACATGACTTCCTCTATCGTTTTCTTGAGAGACAGTGCACAAGCTGCAAATCCCAGGGTGAGGACTGGAGACAGTGTGTGCCCTGCCAGTGACTAGCTTAGCTGGGTGACCACGGCCAACTCATTCAGTGTCTCTTAATCTCGATCTCCAAGCCATGGAAATGAAGGGTAGGCCAGCAGCTCTCCCCATTACCATGTCACGGACATGGTTTGGACTTGGCCATGTAGGATGGGGATGGGGCAGAGTAGCAATGAGTGCTAGGACTGAACTTTGAGCTTTATTCCCTGAGTACCCCTGGGCTGTAATTAAAGAAATCCCAATTTCCAGTATCCTCACCAGCTTCCACTAGCATGAAGATGTACAAAGCTCTCCCTATGTAATCTTAAGTAGGAGTTTGAGGCAGCAAAACAAGCTTGAGGGGCTGGGTGGCTCGGCCCAGGTTACAAGGCTGGTGGCAGGCAGGCAGGGCTGGAAGGAAGAACCACCCCAGGCCTCTTGGGGCAGCCCTGTTTCCACTACAACACAAACCCTGGTGGAAGCTGGGGGTCCCCTAGGCTGCCCCAGGCAGGAGAGACAGAGAGACAGCAGCAATGTGATGGAGGCTGGAGCACAGACGGATCCCTCTGCCGGCATCAGCACTTACTCTCGCCAGCTGTGGCCCCCAGGCCCCCCCCCCACCCCGCCCCGCCCCGTGACATCCTATTCTTGGCTGCAGGTCCGGTTCCTGGAACAGAAAAACAAGCTGCTGGAGACCAAGTGGAACTTCCTGCAGCAACAGAGGTGCTGCTCAAACAACATCGAGCCCCTTTTCGAGGGCTACATCTCCACCCTTCGGAGGCAGCTGGACTTCTTGACCGGGGACCGAGACCGGCTGGCATCAGAGTTCCACTGCCTCCAAGACACGTTGGAGGGCTACAAGAAAAAGTGAGTCTGCACCACTGCTACCCAGCCGGGCCCCTAGGACAAGCAACATAAACAATCTGGGCATTGGGCTTCCCATCTATAAAATGGGAAGCTGAAAATGTAGACATTTAGGTGGTTACACAGTCAGGTGGGATCATGTAGGCAGAGCATCCTTACGACCCATTAGGCACATTGTACAAGCTCTGAGATTTTAGATGTGTATTCATCCCCCTTCCCACCACGCTCTATCTCTCTTCATGTAAAACAAGTCTTCTCCTGCTGTTCCCAGAGCTCCAGGGCTCTGCCCTCATACCTGTTGTGCCTCATCTTCCATCAGTCCCTTGACAGATCTTGAACACTTCTTAGCCTCCAAACAGATTCCCAAGCCCTCCTTCCTCCCAGCTTGTACTCCTGCTGTTCCTTCTTTCTGATAAGTCCCACCGTGGCATTTCTCTTGTAACATCCAGGCTAATATATTCTACCCTGCATCTTCCTGGTCCAACTCAAAATCATCACCTGCAAGAATCCAGATTCAGTGCTTCTTTCAAGAAGCTGAGGCCCAGATAAATTGCCTCGTGGTCCTGGGTGAGCCTCTCATGTTGCCAGGAGAGGGCTGAGAGAGACACATCTCCAAAGACAGTGTGAATACGCTAAGAATGAGGGTTCAGTGGAGTGGAGCCATGTTGGGGACACACATGCTGCAAGTGTCACCCACATGTCTAGTCCAAGCCAGAAGCTGTGCTGGGCAGTTTGGGTTTGATAAAGTTGGGAAAGTCTGGCTCTTTCCCTCAAGATGTCCTGGTAAAGTCAGCAAGATGCCCTGGTATGCACACCAGCAGCTACAGCATGGTACAAGGCAGGACGGAAGAGGAAGCCCAAGAGAGTGAGAGGGCAGAAGCAGCCCAGGAAGGCTTCCCAGAGGAGGTGTGAGTTTGCTCAAGGCCTTGAAGGATATGTTTCATTCCAGTTGCTTCTTCTAAAAGAGGAGTTCAGAATAGACCACAGAAAAGGAGATGAGACAGAAGGAAGGACCAGAGTGTGCAAGTGAGAGAGGATGACTCGAGCAGAAGGGTAGGCGAGATGTGGCAAGGCTGTGGGTGTGGCGAGATCAGCCCTCTCAGCAGGAGTGATCCTTTCTTCATAGATACAAGGTGGTCAGGAGACATATTTCGCAGCTCAAGATTAGGACTTTGAATTTTAAAACTGGGGCTGTTGGAGAAGGATGAGGCCAAATGGTATTTTAACCAATGCTATTTTATTTAACCAATGGTATTTTAACCAAGCATTTAACCAATGCTGAGCAAACACACAATTAGCAAACACACAGTACCCTGTTCCAGGTACTGACCTGGTGTTCTGCAGACATTAACTTGTGTGATGTTTGTAATTGTGAGACAGGACCAGTGATATTCTCATTCTACAGATGATGAAACTGAGGCCAAGAAAGGCCAAGCCACTTACCCAATGTCACATGACAAGTGCAGGACAGAGTGGGATTGAAACGCAGGCAGCAGGCTTAGCATCCAGTGCCTGTGCAGCAGCTGAGTTCTGCAGGAAAACGGAAGCTCGGGCATCAGGAAGCACCGAGAAGCTTTTAATGGTTTGATGTCGCTCATCAAACTGAATCATTCTGGCCAGACTAAACCCTTGACCCTGATTCCGTTGCCTTGGGGTGCAGTGAGTGGGCGAAGAGCTCCCTGGAGCCTAGAGGAAATAGTTCAGCTCCCTCTGAGGATCTGGTAAAGTGGGTAATTGCTACCTCTGCAATTGAGCTGCAGGTAGAGGCCAGGCTCAGCGCTCTCCTGGCGAGGAGGGGCACGGGGTCAGCTGGGCTTGGAGTTACCGCAGCCAACTCTCAGAACAACCCAGAAAAGACAGCTGTGGGACTTCCCTGGTGGCCCAGTGGCTAGGACTCCATGCTCCCAGTGCAGAGGACCTAGGTTCAATCCCTGGTCAGGAAATTAGATCCCACATGCTGCAACTAAAAGATACCGCATGCTGCCACTAAGAACTGGCACAACCAAATAAATAAATATTTTTTCAAGAAGAAAAGACAGGTGTGCCAGCAACAGGCAGCCAACTCTTCACCATTTTCCCAGAGGAAATGACTGGATGAAGTAAGCTTCCTCAGCAGCAAGATAGAACAAAGGTAGCTTTAAAAAGGACTTCCCCAGGACTCCCCTGGTGATTCAGTGGCTAAGACTCCATGTCCCATTGCAGGGGGCTTGGGTTCGATCCTTGGTCAGGGAACTAAATCCGCATGATGTAACTAAGGACCCACATACCTCAATTAAGACCCAGCACAGCCAGTAAATAATTTTTTTAATTAAAAAAAGAGGACTTCCCAGAGAATGATTCATTACAGGAAAAGGCTACCAGGCATTGGGGTGGAACATAAACTTACAAAGTGGCTAATAAGAGGCTATGATAAAAAAAAAACCATCTGTGTTGAGTGGCTGAAGGGGCCAGAGGTGACCAGAAACAGGACCAGACCTGGTGCCTCCCTAGGGCATTCATTCTGTGACTTGTCCCCAGAGGCTCCTACTCTCAGGCCCCATGCCCACACCCTTCCAAACCCCACCAGCATGACTAAAACATTTTCCCCCTGCCCCTTCCACCAGATATGAAGAGGAGCTCTCCCTGCGGCCCAGTGCTGAAAATGAGTTTGTTGCCTTGAAGAAGGTGAGGGAGGGTGGCCCACAGAGGGAGAAGGCACTCTGAGCTGGCCTAGTGGGCCTGGGGACACTCACCCGCTGGACTGGGCCTGCAGCCGGCTCACCTTGCTGACCCCGGTGCCAGCCCCACTGACCCCGAGGGAGAGGAAGGCCAGCCTCCCGCCCCAGAAGGGCAGTGACTGATGCTTCCACCGCCCAACTCGTGTTGAATGTTGTATTTACACCTCCCCAAGAAACTGAAGATGTGGCAAATGCCAAATCAAAAGACAAAAGCTCTGACTCAAATCCCCAGAGATGAAAACCATCCTGACAACCCCTCACATAGACAGCTACGTGTTTTGTTGCCCAGGGCCCATGGGAGCTCTGAGGAATGGACTCCCATCTCCTTTAACCTCATTCCCTTCTGATCCTTCCCCATTGGGATGCCAGGCCCAGGCCTGAGGTCCTTGGCTTTGTCACCCCCTTCACTTCCACATGGGCCTAAGTAAGGAAAGTGGGTCCCACACCTGCCACCTGCCACCAGCTTGCCTGGGAGGTGGCCCAGCTGGCAGAGGGGTGGCCCCAGGTCATGACTGTCACTTTCCTGGCTGCAGGATGTGGACACGGCCTTCCTGATAAATTCTGACCTGGAGATCAATGTGGAAGCTCTGATCCATGAGATCGACTTCCTGAAAACCCTGTATACCGAGGTACCTGCAGCCATGCTGCCCACAGGTGGTCCGCCAGGGGCCGGTTCTGGAGGGATGATGGGCAGGGAAAACTCCTGCCCTGTGGGTACATTTGTGGCTTAAAAGTGGGCAAGTGAAGAAGCCAGTGTGGAACAGCTGGGTCTCAGGCAGAGAGACTCCCAGAAGTCAGAGGGCCCACGCCTTGGCTCTTGGGTCTCAGTGCAACTGGAGGGTGGGGACTGGAGCAGGTCGGTGATGGAAGGCTGGGACAGCTAGGCAAATCTGCCATGGGAATGTCAGAGCTGGGTGTCCTCATTTCTTCCCCTCTCCCTTGCCAAGTTTATCTTCAAAGAGCTCACCCATTCTTACCCGGGGCCCCCACCCCCAGGAGACGAACCTGCTCCAGTCTCAGATCTCAGAGACCTCGGTCACTGTGAAGATGGACAATAGCCGGGAGCTGGACACGGATGGCATCGTTGCCCAGATCAAGGCCCAGTATGATGAAATTGCCAACCGCAGCAAAGCCGAAGCAGAGGCCTGGTACCAGAGCCGGGTGAGTCTTGGGCAGGGCCTGGGAGACCCCAGAACCACTCTCCTTCAGCATCAGGAGAGAAAATGTGAGCCATGCCACACCAGCCTCTGATGTTTCGACCAAGCCTCAGGCCAAGTCCCCATGAGTGTGGGAGAGACCCCACAGACAGCCCAGACCTGTTCATCAGAGCTCCCCAGCTTTATACACTCATAGACTCACAGGAAGTGCTCCCCTAAGTAGCATTCAAGGAATAGTAATTGGCAGTGATGGCAAAGTGGGCTCAGAGTTTCCGGGTGTGGGAGGAGGCTAATGGCATGGAATGGCTACTAATGGTGGAGCAGAAACTGTGATTAAGGTGGCCCCAGACTTAGGTAATTAGGGGCTTGCTGGGAGGGCAGTTGTGCCCCCAAGGGCAGTCTGACTTAACAGATACTATCATCTCAGTCTCACCTACCCCATCTATGAAAGGTACCATTCATTCATTCATTCACTCACTCGTTTATTCATCCGCTTATTTCACATTCATCATGTGCCAAGCAGCATTCTAGATGCTGGAGATCCAACAGGAAACAGAACAATAATCCCTGCCTCTATGTCACTTTCATTTTCCAGAGGCAGGGGCAGGACAGGCAAACAGGACATATAAGTACAGTGTATCTATGTTAGATGGACATGTGCTATGGAAAAAAATAAATCAGGGTGAAGCACAGGGAATGTGGTGGGAATTTGGTTTTTAACAGGATGGCCAGGGAAGGAGGGCCTTAGTGGGGTGTGTGGAACCATGAGGATACTAAGAGTCAGACTATTCCCGTCCTCAAGGAAGTTACAGTCCATGGGAGAGAGAGGTGTAAACAGCCAGAAGGATATACGAGATAGCATGAAGTGACCACTAAGGTAGAGCCATAGGCCAAGGGTACAGTATGATGATGCTGGAAGTAACAAATTGTGTATGGAAAAACAGGAGCACTGGCATTTGATCTGGATCTTGGAAGCCAAGTATGATTTCCATATGCAGAGCATGGAGTAAGGGTGTCTAGCTGAGAGCCAGCAGGAGCAGGCCAAAGAAGCATGAAAGGGAGGTGTCCCCAGTGTGAAGCAGCATGAAGGATAAGGGGCTGGAGGCACAGCTAGATCACAGCAATCTGAAGAGCTTCCCTGAATGTTTTAGACATTTTTCTGAAGGCCGTGGATACCAATTTTCAGGAAATGTCCCAAGAAATGCTCTGTCCTTTTTCTGCATATCCATGGTGATCAAGGTATCAAACCCCAGCCTGGGGTCAGCTCCCTGTAAGTCAGTCTGTGGCCCAGCCACGGCCAGGTCTCATTCCAGCGGGCTCCTCTTCTGATTGCTCTCCTGGGCCACCCGTCAGGCCTTAAGGAAAACAATCTTAATTACCCATCCTTCTAAGTTAGAACCAAAATGATAACTCTATTATTTATCAATTGTACTTGGCTGTGAAGATCAGAAATTTTAAATAATAATAATAATAGTTAAAACAAATTTCATTTTTTATTTTTTTCTCAAATAACTTGAAGTACAGAAATAGACTGCCATAGATGACCCCAAGTTACCATCAAAAACACAGGCTCCTTCGAACTTGCTATTCTGCCATTCTGTTAAGACTGTTAATCCTCATGGTATCCTCATGCCCTAAGATGGCTGCAATACCACCAATCTCACATGTCCATTCCAAGCAGAAGGAAGAAGAGAGGGCAAAAGGAACATGCCAGTTGAATCATCCCTGACTTTTTTTTTCATTTATTTTTATTAGTTGGAAGCTAATTATTTTACAATATTGTAGGTTTTTTTTGTCATAAATTGTCAAAATTTTTGTCATACATTGACATGAATCAGCCTTGGATTTACATGTATTCCCCATCCCGATCCCCCCTCCCACCTCCCTCTCTACCCAATCCCTCTGGGTCTTCCCAGTGCACCATGCCCGAGCACTTGTCTCATGCATCCAACCTGGGCTGGTGATCTGTTTCATCCCTGACTTTAAACAGCTTTCCTAAAAGCCCTATCCTGCAACAGTCTACACCTCATTGAAGAGAAAGTTGAGAAATATTCTTTTATCTGGGGTTCTGTCTGAGGAAAAGAAGTATGGATAGTGATTTGGCAACTACCAGTTTTTTCACAATAACCAAAGAGGGTGACTTATGCTTATCTAGTTTTGCATTTTCTATGCAAAACACTCCTATCCATTATATGCAGAAAGCATACAATTGGCTAACTTTTAAAAATCTATCGATGTAATCTATAATTCACTATTATGAAATTAGATTTTATGTGCAGAGGTTTAAAAAAAAAGTGTTAAGCCAAGATAGGAAGTAACATTGAATTTTGTTTCCAATGGTTTTGAGGGAGAACATACAAATATGTCTACCCTGAGGGGGCAAATGTTCTGTGTTCTCAGTTCTTGGTCTGTTAGATACCCCAGGGCGAGGGCATAAACCCCCTCCAAGGTCCAGAGCACAGATGGAGCAAAAGGGAGGGAAATTCCAGGGCAGAGAGAAAAGGATGAGACACAGAATCACGAAACAGAGAGGAAGGGTGCTTGGAGCTTAGGGGAGAATTTAATAAGCTTGAAGGTCCAGGGCTGGGAGGTGAGAAGGGAATAAGCAGCAGCCCAGAAAAGGACCAGAATTGGAAAGGGGCTGGGGAAACATAACAAGTGTAAGAATCCAGAGCACCCAACGAAGGGAGTCAGGAGAGAGGATCCTGGGGACAGTGGGAATGAGGGCTGAGAGGGACCACAGGGTGGGTGCCCAGGTTCTGACTTCCCTGTCCTGCAGTATGATGAGCTTCAGCTGACGGCCGGGAATCACTGTGACAACCTCCGCAACCGCAAGAACGAGATCCTGGAAATAAACAAGTTGATCCAGCGGCTGCAGCAAGACATTGAGAATGTCAAAGCCCAGGTGAGGCCACCACAGGCTGACCCGCCATCTGGTCCTGGTTGTGCAGGGCAGGTTCATCCTCCCTGGGGGACCTGAGGAAGAGGGAATAAACGTGCACTGTTTCCCATGAGAGGGAGCGAGCCCTTTCTTCAGAAGAGCTGATCCACAGCAGGATAAGCTGGGTCAGGAAACAGTGAGGCCCCTAACAGAGACTAGGCAGTCTATATTCATCAAGATGAAATAGCAAGAATGCTTCATGAGGTGGGAGTATAGAAAAGATGTCCTCCACACCCCCTTCCAACCAAAGACTCTAATTCTATGATCCTGAAATTCAAGGTGATGCTGCAGAGTCCATAAAATCAGACCCACCCTATCCTCCTAGGCTAGTGAAGACCAGGCAGATGCTTAAACTCTATTAGCCACAAAGTAATTGCTTGGCATATCTAAGAGGAAACTCTCAGATCTCCTTGAGGTGTCATAGACAGGAGAACTGGCCTCCATCCCCTGGGGGAACCAGATGTCACAATTCTAGGCTGATACCCACAGCAGATGTGAACCTGGCACATAACCATGACTGTAGGAAGAACTCACTCTTCCTTCTGTGTCCCTCCTTCACTCTCACAGTCACACTCACAACACTTCTGACACCAGATATCGCGGAAGAGTGTTTCCACACCAGCCAGCTCTGCAACACCAGCTGGGTGTTCCACAATTGAACTCACTTCTGATACTACCTACCTGGAGATAACATCAGATCCCATAGGTTAGGGGCTGCCCCCCAAGTCCCACAAGACTGCCCACAGTTCAGAAACCAATCACACGTCCAGGTTGTACTCCAGACCAGTTGGCTATACATTGGAGGTCTCCATGACCACCCCCCTTGGATTCAATTAATTTGCTGGAGTGGCTCACAAAACTCAGGAAAATAGTTTACTTTTTTGGTTTATTGTGGGCTTCCCAGCTGGCACAGTGGTAAAGAATCCATCTGCCAAGGCAAGAGACACAGGAGATGTGGGTTCAATCCCTGAGTCTTGAAGATAACCTTGGAGGAGGAAATGGCAACCCACTCCAGTATTCTTGCCTAGAAAATCCCCATGGATAGAGGAGCCTGGCAGGATACAGTCCATGGGGTCACAAAGAGTCAGATATGACTGAGCACTCATGCATGCACTGGTTTATTATAAAAGGATATGATAAGGAATACAAATGAATACCCAGGTGGAAGGGGTGGATAAAGTAAAGTGTGTGGGAGGGGCACGAAGCTCCCATGCCTACTCCAGGTATGCCATTCTCCCCATACCTCCACCTGTTCAACAACCTGGAGGCTCTCTGAATCCTCTACTATTGAGATTTTATGGAGGCTTCCTCACATTGGCATCACCATTTATCACCTCAATTCCCAGCTGCACTCCCCTCTTGGGAGAATGGTGGGGTGAGCTGAAAATTCCCAGCTTCTAATCAAGGCTTGGTTTTTCTGGTGACCAGCCGCCACCCAGGAGCCCACCTAGAGTCACCTTATTTAAACAAAAGACATTGTCAACACTCAGGAAATTCTAAGGGGTTTAGGGACTCTGTGTCAGACACAGGGTCAGAGACCAAAGATGAGGACAAAGGATGCTCCCGGAGTGCTCATCACTTAAGGAACTATAATGTTTGGAGGAGTTCTGTGCCAGGAAATGGGGGAAGAGACCAATATGTGTTATTTTCAATTATCTCACAATGACCATGTTCTCTGTTCTTCTGAGAGTCGGCCCAGGGTCCCAGGGCCCCTGGGCCCCTGCAATACTTTTCTGTGCTCTCTCCCCTAGCGCTGCAAGCTGGAGGCTGCAGTGACCCAGGCGGAGCAGCAGGGCGAGGCAGCCCTCAATGATGCCAAGTGCAAGCTGGCTGGGCTGGAGGAGGCCCTGCAGAAGGCCAAGCAGGACATGGCCTGCCTGCTCAAGGAGTACCAGGAGGTGATGAACTCCAAGTTGGGCCTGGACATCGAGATCGCCACCTACAGGCGCCTGCTGGAGGGCGAGGAGCAGAGGTGGGTCAGGGATGTCTATTCTCCTGCCCTCTGATTGCTGCTACAGCCATTGCCCACCCCTCAGCTCATCCATGGGAAATCTGAGACAGCATGCAGTCTGCAGTCCCTCCTCATTGACAGGGTCCCTGGTGCGGGCAGGAGGAGGGGCTGCCGTGTTTTTCTCATTGTCTGATGCAGTTCCTTTGTGTCTCCTTTCCCTCTCACCTCCAGGCTGTGTGAAGGTGTTGGACCTGTGAATATCTGTGAGTACTGAGCACTCCGCAGGGGCTCTGGGATCTTGGGAACTGATTCAGCCAAACATAGACCACACTCAAACATAGACCACATTGCCCCATGCCCAAACCTCAGCTTGCCTCCCTCACTCTAAAGAAAAGAGCTCCTGGTGGATGGAGAGGCTCTCCCTCAGCGCTACCTAGGTGTATGGGAGTCAGAATCAGGAGCAGACATCACCAGTGTGGTGCCAGGCACCATATAGACAAGAGAATGTTTTCCTGGAGAAACAAGATTTGAAGCAGACAAATAGGGAGCTTCCCAGGTGGTGATAGGGGTAAAGAACCCACCTGCCAGGGCAGGAAACGCCTGAGACAAAGTTTTGATCCTTGGGTCAGGAAGATCCCCTGGGGGAGGGCATGGCAACCTACTCCAGTATTCTTGCCTGGAGAATTCCATGGGCAGAGGAGCCTGGTGGGCTATGGTCCACAGGATCACAAAGAGTCAGACACAACTGAAGCAACTTAGCATGCACGCACGCATGCAGACAAATAGAAAGAGAGGGTAAAGCAGAAGACAGGGCTCTGGGGCAAGAGGAAGGACACATGGGGAACTGCTAAGCACTTTATGTGACTGGAATGGGAGACTTGGACTTCCCCAGTGGCTCAGTGGTAAAGTATCTGCCTGCCAGTGCAGGAGACACAAGTGACTCCTCACACAAGGTTCGATCGCTGGGTCAGGAAGATCCCCTGGAGAAGGAAATGGCAATCCATTCCAGTACTCTTGCCTGGAAAATCCCATGGACAGAGGAGCCTAGCAGGCTATAGTCATGGGGTCACAGAAGAGTTGGACATGACTGAGCAACTAACAACAATAGGAAACTTGGAAGTTGGTAACTGGGATGGGGGTATCCTTAGACATGACGACAGCAGGTGTGGGGCGAGGGGGGTGGGGGCTTGGCCTGGCAGGGCCCTGAACATCCCTTCCTGTTCCCACAGCTGTGAGCAGCTCCAAAGGTGCCATCCTCTACGAGCCATGTGTGGTCAGCACACCTGTGTACTGTCCAGGGAGCACCAGTGTCCTCAAGAGCAGTGGGGGCTGCGGCATCGTGGGCACTGGTGAAATCTACGAGGGGCTCCTCGTCTGTGGGAGCAGGCGGAGCTCCAGTGTGAAGCTAGGGGCTGGGGGCAGCTCCTCCTGCCACAAGTGTTAGTACAGCCCCAGAAGTTAGTAGCCCAGGGGATAGGGCACAAGCTCCAGGCTGGGATGTTGCCCCCCACAACCAAGGTTCAAGACAAGGCTGTTCCAAGATCCCACCTTTCTCTACTGATCAAAGATTCCCCTTGGGTTTTCACTGGGAGCTGCCCCTCAGGTATCTTCGAGAGTCTCTTTTCACCTAGCTGTGTGCAGATCCTGAGCGAGGCCCTCGGGTGAGGGTAGGGTACAAAGGAAGAAAACACATCTCCCGTCTCCCTCGACTGCTGACAGTCTGACTCCAGTGTGGCCAAGAAAATGGCAATGGCCCCCTAACACTTCTCTTCCCCAGGAGGTCAAAGGGGCACATCACAGTTCTGCTTTGTGGATCATCCCATGGAACTTGCCACACAAATTCTGCCTCCCCTCACCCCCAGACATTCTCCTCCTCTCTTACTTTGGACTCTCATGAACCTGAGAAAAGTGAACTCCTTCTAGCACCCATCTAATACATGCACTATTGCAAATATCAAAAGGAGACACCCCAAAATCCCATCCCAAATTCCTAAGACAAATGCCAGGATTTCAGGATCACTCGGAATCTGTCAATGTTGCTCTCAGCACACAGAATCAAGAGGTGGTCTTTGGGCAATAGATTTACCTGCTTAGCTGTGTTGAACTGGCACTATAAAAATACATCTCTTTCCTGAGCTGATATTGGCAGCTGATGGCAAAGAAATGCCTAAAACAAAGGGACAATCAAGAGCTGACATTATTCGTTCAATGGAATCAGGCATGCCCACACCTTTTGTACATAGCCACCCCCTGCCAGCTCCCTCTCCCTTGAGTTCCTCTTGCGTTGGGTCTGATGTGAACATGTTTTCCTCGCTACAGTGATAAGAGGCTGCCTCAGCAGACTTGGAGGCTCTGCCTCAGGGCTGTGAGGGAAGAGAAGGTACTGAACTGACCTCACCTCCCTAGAGCACTCCCCGTCCCAATAGTGCTGCCTCCTGCCCACCCAGGGATCCACGTTTCTGCCATGAGCCTCTGGGCTTGTCTATTCCCAATAAACTGTTCCCAGGCTACAGGAATCAGGATTGTTCACCCTGCTCTGAGGATAGTGAGGTTGAAGGGAAACTGAGGAACAGCTCTGGGGGCCTGGGGGCCAGTTGGGGGCATTGGAAGTAGAAACAGAGGTTATTATACAAACGGGAAAACTACATGTGAATGATTGGCAAGTGGCCTGTGGAGCAGGTGTGGAGCCATACAAATTATACTTAAAGTCTGCACATCATACCACAAGAGTTTACAAGTCACTTGCCATGTTGAAAACCATGGTCTTATTCCCCACAGGCCTCCTCACCACATGGTCCCCTGCATATGTCCTAGAGAAAGTCCATGGGGCCCCTCATACCATGTCTGTACTCAGCAGCCTCCGGGCCTGGAGGCTCTGCCTCCGCAGCCGGGACTATGTGTACCACATCTACCTTCGGTGCAGGACAGATTCAGGCCTGGGGCTGGCAGGGAAGATATGTAGCAGCCTGGCTAGCGAGGGGCATCCTCGAGGCTCCTCTCCCACTCTGCGGCCCCAAGACCTGGAGTTGAGACTTGGTGGCAGCAGTTCCACCCCAGAGGGGCCCTGATACCCTCCATGTTGCCTCACTGACCCCTGTAACAATCCCCCCTCCATAGATGTCCCCCCCGTGCTCCCTTCTCCTGAGCACTCCCTTACCCCACAGCCTGTCTCACAGAGCATCTCTTCTGTGCCAAGCCCTGCATTAGGAGCTGGTGATAGAGAGGTGACTATAACACCCTGAGAACCCTGGAGGGGACTCAGCCTCAGAGAGGAGTCATAAGTAGTGACAGCCAGAGAGGTTGGAAGTGACAAGGAAAAGCAACTGGTAATTATGCCAGTCAAGGGGGTCAGAGAGAGGTTCACAGAGAAGACTGCAAGGACAGGGCTTGAAGAGACAAGGGTTACTGATTTATGGGCATCTTATTCCAAAGGACCCATCCACTCAGTTTTCATTCACCCAATGTAATTATTAAGCACCTGCTATGGGTCAGGCCACCCAGCGGCTGGTGTCACAGTGGTGAACAGGGCAGCCCCAGTAGGGACAATAGACATGGGACAGAAGACATGGTACTTAGAGCCCACAGTAGGGGCTGTAAACTATGGAAAACAGTCTGGTAATTCCTCAAAATGTTAAACATTAGAGCAATCACGTGACCCAGCAATTCCACTCGTAGGTAGATACCCGAGAGAAATGAAAACACACACAGGACAAATGTATGGACACCAAGGGAGGAGAGGGGAGGCAGGATGACTTGGGAGACTGGGATTGACATATACACTACTGATACTATGTATAAAACAGATAACTAGTGAGAACCTACTGCATACAAGGAACTCTACGCAGTGCTCTGTGGTGGCCTAAATAAGATCAAAATTTTAAAAAGAGGAGATATATGGACACATTAGCTGATTTCTTTGTTGTACAGTAGGAACTAACACAACACTGCAAAGCAACTGCACGCCAGTAAAAATTTAAAAACAAAAAAACACGGCCACATAAAAACTCATACATGAATGTTCACAGCAGCACTATTCACAATCCCCAAGAGGTGAAAACAACCTAAATGTCCATCAATGGACTAATGGATGATCAAAATGTGATCTATCCATACAATGGAATAATATTTGGCCATAAAAAGGAGTGAAGTACTAATATGTGCAACAACATGGATGAACCTTGAAAACATAAGGTAGATAAAGAAATCAGACACAGAAACCAGATAGTCTGATTCCGTTCATATGAAATTCCAGATTAGGAAAACCTATAGGGCCAGAAGGCATATTAGTGGTTGCCTAGGCCTGGAGGAAGGAGAAGATGGGGTAAGGGTGACAGACAAAGGTTTCTTTGGAGGTGATGAAAATATTCTAAAATAGACTACGGTGTTGGTTGCACTTATCTGGGAATATACTAAAACCATTGACTTGTACATTTTAAATGAGTGAATTATATGATCCATGAATTATATCTTAAAAAAACTGTCTTTAAAAAATGGAACCCTGGCTCCAATCCAGGCCTCTGGGGCTTACAGCCTACTTGAGGATACAGACTTAGACATGAAATTATAGATGTCAGGCTTGTTGCGAAAGAGGACAGAACTGAGGGTCCCACCTTAGTCACAGGCCTCGGGTAGGTCCCCTGAGGAGGGGCAGGTAAGCTGGACCCCAAAAGCCAGCAAAACTGAGAGGAAGCAAGGAAGACCGTGGCGTCAGGGTGGGGTGGAGGGAAGGGGGTTCAAGGCTGAGGGATCAGCAACCGTGAGTCAGGGCACATGCAGAGTCAGGCGGGTGAGAGCCAGTGACTTCAGGGACTCACATCCACACCTAGGGAAAGAGAGGAGACGGGACAACAAGGGCCTCACGGCCTCCATTCCCACTTGAAGCCTTGTCGCCCTGGACCTGCCCTAGAGCCAGTAAGCTGCTTGCTGATTAAAAACCCAAAGCTCTGAAAACTACAGAGACACTCCAGCCTGGAGTCAGCAAAAACAGAGATGACAATAGGCCACCTCTGTCCCACAGACGACTATCCACACCCCAGTGGAGTAAAGGAGGAGAACAGAAGATTCCTCCACCTTCACAGAGAGGTGGGCTCCAGCCTAGTGACCATCCCTGTGGGAATTCCCATCCCAGGGTGGCCCTGTCCCGGACATAAGCTAGAGGCCCCAGCATGCCCCTTCAGAGCTCCCCCCAGGAGATCCCCCTCAGTGATGTGCAGTTGAGTCCTCACTCTCCTCTTCTCCCCAGAGAGGAGGTGACACTAGGCAGGCGGGAAGAAAGTGCCTCCTGGTGGTGCCCCAGAATTTCACTCCATCAGCTGGGCAAACACCTCCCGAGCTTCTCCCAGGACCCGCCCTGTGCCAGGTGCAGGGATACAGGGAGGATTAGGCCCCCGCCCTGCCATCCGGAGGAAGGGAGAGATGTCTGCTGAAGCCAGAGCCTCCCTGCATTCCACTCGGTCTCTGGAGTTCAAATCACAGCCCTTCCCAGAGCGCCCCCGCCAGGACAGGTGGGGAACAGCCCAAAGAGGCCTGGGTGGAGGACCTGGAATGAAGTTCCTTGTTCTTGTTTGTCTCCCCAGAATGTCTCCCGTTTTCTTGTTCCTTTTACCCCGGGGAGACCCTTCCTTGCCCCTCCCTCAGGCGTGCTCTGCCCCACACTCTGGGTTCCCTGGGTCCCCTCCTCATCCTGGTCCCACCAGGGGTTCCAGGGAGACACTACTGCCACTCTCCCCCTGGGGCTTGGATTGGGGGAAATGGCCACAGAAACCTGTAAGTGGAGGAGGGGACCTAGGATCACTGTGTCTGGTAGAAGGAAGAGGGTTGCACCCAGCTGGCCGGCATCCCCACACCTAGCTCGATGCCAGGCTCATATCAACACCCAGTGAAGGTTTTTTGTTGTGGACTGACTTGCATGCCAACAAAGAGCATCATTTCACCCTGAAACTGTGTGGGCAAGTGAGGAATTTGGGCTAAACCTGAAAAAAAAAGAAAAACCATCCTGCTTGAAAGGGTGGGGATGGGCTCGAGTAAGAGGGGTGCTTTGTCTCTCCTGAGAGGTGTTTAAATTCTATCCCAGCACCATTGACCTGACAGGGCAGAGAGCTAGAGGGCCTTGGCTCCTTCCCATCGCCCCCTCTTTCTTGAGGGAGACTCCTGAGTCTCCCTTCCCACTGGGGCAGGTCTCAGCATGAACACCTCCCAGTGAGTGTCTCTCTCCAGCGCAGACTTGTCCCCAAGCAAAATGGAAACACTCTGAAGGAGGCGGTGGCTTTAGAAAGTCATCTCATCCTCTGGGATTTCCCTGTCACCCTCCTCCCCACCCACAGGCATGCAAACACACACACAGAGCAGCCAGGGTTCCCAGGCCCCGCCCAGCCAACCAGCATGGTCCCCTCCCTCATCAGCAGTCCCCCCTCCTCCCAGAGCAATTAGCATCAAGATGAGCCAGCAATCCATCTACACTAGCTCAGCCAGCAGATCTCAGGATTACATCCAGACTGACTCTCAACAGGAAGAAGAAACTGTCAGAGCAGCAAAAGCCCCAGCCCAGAGTTTCCAGGGCGACTCCTCCCCTCTCCCCACCTGCTACCCTTTAAAAATGGCTGAGGACTGTATTTTGCATTGTCTGGCGAAATAATGCCTCAGAACTATAAACTGCTAATGGTGACAGCTCATCTCAGAACAGGGGTCATGCGTGACCGGTTTCAATTACCCCCATCCCGCCCCGGCTGTTAGGGTTGAAGGAAACTGAGATGCGGGTCAGCCCCAGGAATGTCTGGTGAGGTAATGATGCCATAACCACTGGAGCTGGAATGAGGTTGGGTGCTGGACCACAACAGGGATGACAGCTTACAGGTGAAGGGAGGCAAAAAAAAAGGGGGGAAGAGGCAGAGACGAAAAGAAGGGGATGAAGAGAGGAGAGAGATGGATAATCACACGAGGCTCCACACAACGTTCACCCCACCCAAGCATTTCCACATGTAACCTTCACATACTATGCAGAAGGTATAATTCCATGTTACAGATGAGGAAACTGAGGCCAGAGAGGTTAGATAATTTCCCCAAGTCATTTATGTCCCAAGGAGGGTGAGTGTTTGCACAGTGATAATAAAATTTTACCCCCTGTCCTCTCTCCTTTTTCCTCCTGCTTTTAATCTTTGCAGTGTCTCCATTCATTCAACAAAAACATATAGCCTGCCTACCACGTGCCTCCACTCTCCTAAGCAGGGATGAAGAGGAGAAAACACACACACACACAACAGTGCCTGCCTCCTGGAGCTTATGTTATAGCCTGAGATGATGATGTTAAACAGGCAAATCCTTGCAGGCAAGGACCTCGGATGGTGAGAACTCCTAAGGAGAGGAGGAAGCAGGCAGAGAGGGTGGAGAGTACGTGGAGGAGGGGAATTTAAAGAGAAGGGACCTATGAGCAAAGACCTGGGAGAGTTGAGGGACCTGGCCATGCGGCCATTTGAGGAAAAAAGATTTCCCAGCACAAATAAAAAACAGTAAATTCGAAAAGTGTCTGAGCAGGAGCCTTCCTACCTGTTTGATGGACATACAGGCAGACGGAGTGGCTGGAGCAGAGTGAGTAAAGGGCAGATAGAGGGAAGGGAGGTCAGTGAAAGAGGAGGGAAGACTATGTAGGGTCCTGTATGGCATTTACTCTGGATGTTTGAACTTAGACATGGCATGATCTGACATGTTTTGTTTTAAAAGGACCACTCTGAGTATGGTGTTAAGGAAAGACAGAGAGGGCACAGGAGGAAGCAGGATGACTAGCTGGAAGGATACTTTAACACACCCTGTGAGGAGTGGTGAACTTGGACAAATATGGGAACAATGGTGTGGTGAGCAGTAGTGAACATCCAGGTATATTTTGAAGGTAGGACTTGCCAATGGACTGAATGTGGGATATGGAAAAAGCTGACAAAGGCTGGCTCCCAGGTTTCTGGCCTGAGCCAGTACAGAGATAGCACGCCTGGCAAGTAGAATGTATTTCACAGGAACAAACAATCGGGAGAACAGTTTTGGATAGATTAAATTTGAGATACATAATTGATATCCAAATAGAGATATTGATCAAAATACATGTGTGGGGCACAGAAGGGACATTCAAAGGTATGTTCAGGATAGAGATACACCTTGGCAGCCATCAACAGACAGATAGTATTTAAAGTCATGAGACTGTGTGATGTCACAAAGGGGACAAGTGTAGATAAAGACATGAACAGGTACAAGGGCTGAGCCCAAGGATGCCGTGGTGTGTGCAGGTTGGGGATATGAGGATAAACTGGTTGAGAAAAATGAAAAGAAGAAGTCAATAATATGTAAAGAAAATTAAGAGAATGTGCTGTCTGGAAACCAAAAAAAAAATTATTTCAAGGAAAAGAGAATGATCAACTATGTCAAATTCTGATAAATTAAATGATAGCTGAGAATGGACCACTGAATTTAGCAACATGGAGGTTGCTGGCAATCTTCACAAGAACTGCTGTGTTATTATTATTTTCTGCTTCTCCCTCTGAGACGTGAACCTGATACCTGGATCTATGGAGTAGATGGTAAATGAGAAATGAGTAGTGGTAAATGAGAAACAGAAACATCCTCAACTTGATAAAAAATTTATATATGCAGAAAACCTACAACTAACATTGTACTTTACTGTGAGAAACTTGAAGCTTTTCCACCAAAAATCAGGAACACGGCAAAGATGCCCTCTCTCACCACTGCTTTTCAACATCATACTGGATATCCTAGCTAATACAGTAAGGCAAGAAAAAGAAATAAAAGGTATAGAGACCTGAAGGAAGGAAACAGTGAAGACCTGAGATGGATGGCTCTCGTCAAAAGCTCATATTCTCTTTCCAAAGTATTGATAGAATCCCAAGTAAGCATTCAATCAAGCACAAGTTCCCCCAGACACCGACAAGTAGGACCAATCATGCCACTTTCTAGAACAGAAAAGGTCCACATTTGTCTCTCCATCTATAATGCAAGGAATCTGCATAGGTAAGACTACAGATATCCCTAATGTGTATTTTAGGGGTTCAAAATCATGTGGTTAACTTTCCACACAGATACATGGCCAAATCATTGGCATGTTTTGACCTCAAATTATGTCACAAAAGTATTGGTTGGTGGAAGTCTTCAAGATAATCTCCCCACACCAGCAGGAATACAGAGACCTTTTTTATCTCTCTACCCTTTGTACCAAGCACATTACCTGAGATAGAGTATCTGGTAATTGCTGAATGAATGAATGAATGAATGTCCTTTGAGAGTCTCAAATCAGACATGTATTACACTAACCCAGATGAGCTTCACAGATGATTCAATTCTTATGTGAACAGTTAAATCAGATTACAGAGGATAGATGAAACATTGCAAAAGGTTTTTGGACTGTTTAATCCATCTACAGGGATGCAGTAAACTGTATTCTCACCATATCATTTCTTACTTGGAGCTATGAAGACCCTGCCTCTCTTCTATACACTCATCTATTTAGGGGTTATCTGTATAGCTGCATTCCCTGAAAGCCTCTTGCTGGAGTTGTTACCATTCTAACTTTCTGGTGGTTAGCCACACTTGCAATGGAAAGTCTATTGGATTTAAGACCAAGGAAAATTAATGTCCCCATAATGGCAATTATGGTGGACCTGTGGGAAAAATAGGACAATAATGTTTATGTGTTTATGTGTTTTTAATGTTTATAGGTTTGATGTTATGGCTCTGATTCTGAGGGGAATAGGTGTGTCTGAGATTAGTTCACTGTGAAGGAGGTTACAGGCATGGAGAGTTTCTGCTAACTACCCAAGCTCATAAATGCTTCCAAATGGCTTTTTTCACTTTTATGGGACCAATCCTCAGATCCCCACACACATAAAAGGGGTGAGAGGGATCCACTAGCCCCAGAGGACTCCCAGCTCCAGCTCTCCCCACTCTGCAGTCGCCACTCTGCTCTTGCCCAGGACACCATCATGTCTTGCCGCTCCTACAGAGTCAGCTCTGGTCGCTGTGTGGGCAACTTCAGCTCTTGCTCAGCAGTGACCCCTCAGAACCTGAACCGCTTCCGGACCAGCTCTGTCTCCTGCAGGAGTGGGCCCAGCTTCCGGGGTCTCAGCAGCTTTGGCAGTCGGAGCGTCATCAGCTTTGGATCGTGCTCACCCCGGATAGCAGCTGTGTGCCCTCGACCCACCTGCTATGGAGTTGGCTTCGGTGATGGAAGTGGTGCTGGTCTGGGGTTTGGGGCCGGCAGTTGTGTTGGCCTGGGGTTTGGAGTCAGAAGTGGTCTTGGCTATGGCTTCTGCAGTCCTGGCTTTGGTTACCGAGTTGGAGGAGTTGGAGGGCCAGCAGCCCCATCCATCACAGCAGTGACTGTTAACCAGAGCCTGCTGACCCCGCTCAACCTGGAGATTGACCCCAATGCCCAGAGAGTGAAGAGGGATGAGAAGGAGCAAATCAAGACCCTCAACAACAAATTTGCCTCCTTCATCGACAAGGTACTTGAGACAGCTCAGTCTCTGGGTCTGGGATGATGAGAGCTAAATGCACTAGGGTGTACTTTCCCTCAGGAAGAACTGATCTAGACCCAGGACACAGATCTTGACCCCACATCCTTTGGGATCAACCAAAAGCATGCCGTATGATTTCTGGGTCCCTCTGCTGCAGAGCAAGGATGAGCCCGAGGAAGCACTACATGGAGGGATAGATTGACGGTGGTGGTGGAACATCCAGCCACTGACTGGATGCCTAAAGGGATCTGAACAACCTAGTCATTTAGAAATATCTTCCAAACAGGTTAGAAACATGAACACCTCCACCAGGTGTTGGCTGGGACAGGTTTAAGAGATTTTGTCCTTTGATATCCTCATGCTCTCTTTGAAGTTTTCATGGTTTCTGAGGATGAGGGGCCACACCTGTTCAGGCTTAAAGAAATGAAGAATGGAGTTGAGTAATTTTTGTACAAAACAAGGAATTCATACCCCTCCCCACAAGAGGGATATCCAGATTCAGCCAAGTCACCTAGATTGAGGAAAACAGTAGGGAATGATCACTGGTGGTCACTGATCTTCAGGTTGATGAGAGGAACAAAGGGGTGGAACTGACATCCCAGAAGCAGGGATTCATGTCTCCATGAAGTGGGGATTCTCTGATTGTGCCTGAGATTGTAAACTCACCTCTGTGAGCCTCATTCATGTGAAATGAGGGGTTGGAGCAAATGGTCTCTACATTCTCCTACAGCTCTGTAAGTCTCAGCTGATGGAATATCTGGGGTGATGGGTATGACCTATTACCTGAGAGTTCCCACCTCCTAAAGCCACTTCCCAGCCCAAATGTACTTTGTTCTTCATTCCCTGCCAGAGATAACTGAAAACATTGGTTTTCAGATGGAGGCCAACCTTGGCTCAGGTAGAATCGATTTCTGAATTCCCAGTGAGCTGGCCCTCCCCTTTCTCAGACTGTTAAAGGGGAAACTGAAGATTTTGGTTTCAAAGCTTCTGTTTGTATCTCAGCCTGGCTGAGTGTGAGGAGGCGTCCCAGACCTGCTCTGCCAGATTCTTCTGAGTTAGAGGACTGAAAGTCAGACAAAAAAGGGAACAATGGTCACCATGAGGTTGTCATCTCTGACCATCTGAGCAACTAGTCCATACATAGGTGATCATATTGAGCACTCAATTGCCATGTCTTTGCCTCTGTGGATTTAGGTGCGGTTCCTGGAACAGCAGAATAAGCTCCTAGAGACAAAGTGGAACTTCCTCCAAGAGCAGAAATGTGCCAAGAGCAACCTGGAGCCCCTCTTTGAGAGCTACATCACCAACCTACGCAGGCAGCTGGATGTAGTGAACAGTGACCAGGCCCGGTTGGAGGCTGAGCGGAACCACATGCAGGATGCCCTTGAGGGTTTCAAGAAGAAGTGAGTGGCATCTGGACCATATGGACCAAGGACGGGCATAGGGCTGGTCCCCAGTGCAGCAGCCAAGCTCAGATGGGAGCTCCTAGAAGGATCAGAGTTGAATGCTGGTTTCAATTCCCAGCCTGGAGACAGTGGCAGGGCAGTGATATGTATGGGAGGGTGAGGCCCCTTTCAGGTCCTGAGGAATAAAGGGACCTGAGATTGGGCACAGTTTGTCCCTAATCCTGTCTGTGCACATGGGTGAGTTGTCCCCAGAAAAAGGAAACCCCTGGTTCTGAAAACAGTGCCCAGGTCCAGCCACAAGCAGGATGCTACTTCCTCTAAGGTCAAGTTCAATGACCCTAAGGCATTTCCAGCAAAGAACCACAGCCAAGGCTCAGATTTTCAGACCCCGCACCCAAGTTGAGAAAGTAAAAGGGATTTGGAGAAACCAAGGGTCTAAAAGATCTTAAAGATGGGACAGCGTGGAGAACATGAGGATGGCAACAGGGAGCCAGCCTCCTGGCCGGGGCAAGAGAGATCATAATAAGTGATAACTGGGGAGCTGGCTGTAATCAGCTCTCAGTTCAGGGGGAGAATTCACCGTCTTCATTTTTATCACTCAGGTATGAAGAGGAAGTGGGACTTCGGGCCAATGCTGAGAATGAGTTCGTGGCTCTGAAGAAGGTAAGGAGAGCAACAGGTCCAGGAAGACTTCCCCTCCAGACAGGCAGATGTTTTCCACATCCCAGGACGCTGCCCGGGCAGCCCTGTGAAAACACACACACAGTGGAGCCCCTGAGGTCACAACTGCTTCCCTTCAAAGTTCTGATTTGGTCTCCAATGACTTAGGGTCTTCATGAGAGGAGAGGCTTGAAGAGATGACATTTTAGGAGACTTGGGTTAACAAGATTTTTCTTGCCTCTAAATGAGCATCGAGAAAGGTCCAGTATCCCTGGGGGTTTTACGCTGTCCAAGGGAGAACAAGAGACATTAAGCTGCAATGTCTCCCCCCCATGACTCTCCCACCCATCCCACTCTGCCTGCCCCTATGGAGACTGGTCTGATCTTCCCACCCATCTCCAGACCCTGCCAAGGTGGAGAGGTTAAACAGTACACAGATAATGAGCATTCTATTCTTCTCTCTTTGGTGCAGGATGTGGATACAGCGTTCTTAAGCAAGGCTGATCTAGAGGCCAATGTGGATACCCTAATTCAGGAAATTGACTTCCTGAAAACCCTGTATGCAGCGGTAAGGATTCATCCCCTCTGAGCCATCCAAGGAGCTCACTGTGTGGCCTGCACTCCCTGGGGGTTCACTGGACCAGTGTATTTTCTAACATTTGGAATCATACATCTTTCTTCCCATCAAATCTATATTCTCTAAATGCTGACATATGTACAAGTGGAGAAGGTAAGGGGAGCCTAACTCAGGTCTATGAAGCAACTCCTTGTTGGCCAATCTACTGATGGCCAGGAAAGTTTTGGGTCTAGGAATGTCACTTCCTATCTTCTGATGAGAAGACTCTGGAAAACTGACTTGCTGGGAGATGTAAGATGTGTTACCTAATTAGTCAAATGAACTAGCTATCTTTTGCTTCATAAGGTCTTTTTGGCCTGGGATAGTCCTAATTTCAGAACTGAATGTCTGGCTCTGAGTGGAAAGGCTGAAGAAATCTCCCTCTGAGGCCCTCGCTTTGCAGACCAGTTCTCAGCCTTCTCCCATCCCCACTGCCAAGTCTGTTAAGGACTTGGGATATAGGAACTCCTAGATCATCATGTTCTAAAGTATTGTCAGCTCTCAATGACCCATGACTGGCACAGTCACTGTGTGGCTAAACCAAAGAGAAGTTTAAGCTTTATCATGGTTTTTATTCCCCTTCACAAATCCCTAGGCCCCCACAGTTTTAGTAGTCATCTAAACAAGTTAGGTGTTCAAGGGATATCTCCTAGTATACAACAAGGGTTTAAAGTCAAGCTGAAACGGTTTGGGGTCACCTCCTCTTCTTTGCCCTCAGTTTGCATGATCTGCTCTGTCGCTTTGCCCTGAAGAAATAAGCAATGCTCTGTCTCCTGACTCTAAGTCCTGGGGACCCTGTAACAAAGCTCCTGCCATTGATGGGACCCATTGATGGGACTCAGTCCATCTGCCTCACTGATCTTCCAACACAGGAAATCCAGTTACTACAGTCACACATCTCAGAGACATCGGTCATTGTGAAGATGGACAACAGCCGGGACCTGAACGTTGACGGGATCATCGCCGATATCAAAGCCCAGTATGAAGAGATTGCCAGACGCAGTCGGGCTGATGCGGAGGCCTGGTACCAGACCAAGGTCGGCAGGAGGGTGCTGGGGAAAGGGAGCAGGCAGCCCTGGGATGACAAAGTGGGTTGTGATCTTGACTCAATCTTTGAATCATCCCTTTCTCCCACCACCCCCTAGTACGAGGAGATGCGAGTGACAGCTGGTCAGCACTGTGACAACCTGCGCAGCACTCGGGATGAGATCAATGAGCTGAACCGGCTGATCCAGAGGCTGAAGGCAGAGATCGAGCATGCCAAGGCTCAGGTGGGCAAAGGAAAAAGAAAGCCCCATAAGGAAGACAGGCAGAGCCCCAAGCTTTGGGGAGCCTGAGTTAGATGATGTGGGGGAGGCAACTGGAACCCAGAAATAGAGGGATGGAAGAATTAGTCCAGGAAGACTTCCTGGAGGAGGAAAATGAGGAAGGAAAAGAGAGACTCTCTCAAACTCCCAAAAACGTAGAAGGGAAGCTCTTGGGCTCCCTTAAAGGGGCAGGCAAGACAGAAAGAATGGCTTTATTCTCTGGACCCCCTGGGTCTTAAAGCAACAGAAATCAGTAAGTGCAAAATCAGTGAGGATGAAAACAGAAGGAAAGCAATGTTCTACTCCCTGTTGACATCAAACTATAGGATGACAAGCCCCTCCATGGGCTCCATCCCTGGCTTGGCACCAGGCTGTGTTCCCATAGACAAAAGGCAGTGTTTCTAGCCCAACCTGAGGATCCCCTAGTTCCTGCCAGAGCCCATCTGCAAATTGCCCTCCCCACAGCGCTGCAAGCTGGAGGCCGCCATAGCCGAGGCTGAGCAGCAGGGAGAAGCTGCCCTCAATGATGCCAAATGCAAGCTGGCAGAGCTGGAGGGTGCTCTGCAGCAAGCCAAGCAGGATATGGCGCGGCAGCTGAAGGAGTACCAGGAGCTCATGAATGTCAAGCTGGCCCTGGACATCGAGATCGCCACCTACAGGCGCCTGCTGGAAGGCGAGGAGATCCGGTGAGTGCTCTCAGTGTAGCGATTGGAGTGTGGTCAGACTTCTGGCTTCTAGAAAGTCTAAGTCGGGGAAGGAACCAGGAACAATTTTTCCTGCAAACCTCGTTGGATTGCCCTTGGCAGGGGTTTAGAAGATGGCTCTGGTTCTGTGCCTCTAAGTGCAAGCTTGTAGACAGACTGCATCAAATCATAGAGTTCTGCTTGATTGGTTCGCTTGTTTAAAAAAAGAAAAAGAAGATATTCTCTTTTAGAGAAAAAGAAATATTCTCTCAAATATTTTGCTTCAATAGTTTCGGAGGGTTTAGGGACATGTAAGTTTTGAAAACTCCCCAGATGCTTAGGCAGACATGGATAAGAACCACTGTCCACACAGCCAAAAAAGCCCTCTCATAGCAGGGAAGTTTTCAGAGAACAACATATTTGTGAACTGACTTGCTTCTTTCTCTTTCCAGGATCTGTGAAGGTGTTGGACCAGTAGACATAGGTAAGACCCTTCAGTCTCTTCTTCACACATGTCTCTCCTAGGACCCTTCAAATTTCCTTTGAGCTCAAGCCCACATTGAGGTCAGGAGCCCATGGCTGGACTGGCCATGACAGCCAGGGGAACAGGGACCATCTGGCCCTTGGACTGAGAACATCCTTAGCTGACTTAGGTCTTAAGACATCCCCAGAGCCTGCCTCCCCAGAGCTAAGCAATCAATCACAAAGGTTTGCAGAGCCTGCTAGGTGGGAGAGGGCTCAAGAAGTCAGCCTTTTTGTGAACAGTGGCCTTGTCCTTCAAGGGCAAAGACCAAGGAAGGAATGGCAAGGCCTGTGCCAGGAACTCCTTCCTCTGCTGATGGCAGGGAATAGGATAGGCTGAATGCAAGTCCCCGTGCTGTTGCTGCCAAAGTACTGGTTGTGCCCAAAGCACACAGGACCTGTGCTGGACACTGTAGGGGAGGGACAAGACCCAGACCCAGTGCTCCAGATTTATAATATTCTTCACATGAGTCCTATCCACTGTCAACCTAATCCTCAAAGCCCCACGGGGAGAATGGCTTGGGCAACTCCCTTTTACTCAAAAAGAAAAAAATACATGACTTGCCAGCAGTCACAAAGATAGGGGCACAGCCGGAATTCAAACCAAGACTTCTGATCCAAGAGTGCAAATATACACAGCTGTATATGCTAAACTGGGTGGGTCACTATGGCAGGAAAGATTCCTGTGAGAGGAGAAGGAAGAAAGGGGGGCCCTCCACCAATGGGAATTGAGCTAAGTAAGGCTTAATCAGACTAGAGTCCTGCGTCATGGAGGTGTGTCCAGTGGAGACTAGAGGGCTAGACAGCACAGCCATTTAGTGAGTCGGGAGGAACTGACAACAGACCCTCTTTAGAGGTGGGCAATGTGGGGATTTCCAAGGGGCAAGATGTAACTGGAAGATGCCCTGTGGCTTTATTATTGAGGCTACTGGCTGGAGGCTGCTGGATAATCCAACTCGCCAGCCCCCTCACACAACCCAACCGGACTTTGGCCATATATAAGTGACAGTGGACTTATGGCTATATGCCAACACCTGGGCAACTGGTTGAACTCTTCCATTTTAGTCCAAATGCTCCATTTTAGTCACTTTAGCGACTCCACTAAAGTCAAACTCCATTTTGACTTTGGTGAAGTCACAGCCTTTGAGTCACCCAGGCAAAAGGACAGAAAAGTGGGTATTGACTACGTAGATAGTAGGAACCCCTGGGACCCAGGCCACTTCTGCCTGTCCTCTCCCCTCCCGAAATGGGAGCGTGGAGGGTGAGGCAGCCTCGCTGAGGGTTTCTTCCTCCTGCAGCGGTGAGTAGCTCCCGGGGCGGCCTGGTGTGCGGGCCCGAGTCCCTGTTCAGCAGCTCCAGCCTCTGCCGTGGCGGGGTCACCATCTCTGGAAGCAGCAGCAGCAGCAACATCAGATCCAGCGGCTTCTGCAGCTCCAGCGTGGGTGGGGCCCGGGTTGTGGGCGGCGGGGACCTGCTGGGCGCCGGCTCCCGAGGGGGCTTGGTGCTGGTGGGCGAAGCCTGCGCTCCCAGCGTCCCCTGCCCGCTGCCCACCGAGGGCGGCTTCAGCAGCTGCAGCGGCGGCCGCAGCAGCCGCAGTTCCACCGTCCGGTTCGTGTCCACCACCACCTCCCACCGGACCAAGTACTGAGAGCAAGCGCTGGCCAGCCACCGCCCTCAGAAGAACCATCTCCACACCTTCTGCTTCTGTCCCCAAGGTGCCCAGAGTCAGGCTGGAGGGCGCTGTAGGTACCCCTCCTGCCGAGAAGCCAGGGACTGCGCTGCCTGGTCTCTGTCCTCTGGGGGGATTTTTTTCACCTCTTAGACACTCCATCCACAGGCCCCAGAGGACTGGCTTTCTCCCTGACTCCCCGTATCCTTCTTTGGGTCACTCCTCACCACCCAACCCAACAGCCTAAAGAAAGTACAAAAGCCAATGTGTTGGGGGAGAAATAGACCAGTTCAACGCCAGAAAGAATGTGTCTGGGCACCATCACCATCCTAGCTTTGGATTAACTTCAAGAATGGAGAGCTGGCTGTCCACAGAGCAGGGGTCCTCAGCCAACCAGCCTCTGCTTCCCTGTCCTAACTTTCCCTGGCAGAAGGTTCTTTCCTCCTCTTCCTGACCCAGAAGGAGCCACCATCTTCAGTGGCCCAAGGGATCCCTGAGTCCCCAGAGATGGTTCTTCTCCAAGTGGCATTGGTCCTGGCTGCTTCTCTTCCTGGGGTGTTGGTTTAACCCCGGCACGCGAGTCCACGAGGTGGATGGGTGCAGGTGGAGAGGCGGGCCCTGCAACACTCCATGTCCCTGCTGGTGGTGTAAGGGGAGTCCAGCCTTCCACTGCAAGAGGGTTTATGTCTGCAAGCTCCAAGGAGGCCTGGGCTGGGGTGGGTGCCTGTTTGTACTGCTCTTTGTGTTGCTGGAATTTCAATAAACTTGCAAGCTAACATCTCTAGGACTCTGGCCTCTCTTTACCAGTCATGCTGGGGGTGGGGGATCTTACCTCCTAGATTCCACTAGCCCACTCCCCTGGGAACTTGCTAAGGGCAGAGGCTGGTGTCCTGGGACAGAGGACATACTAAGAAAAGAGCCCTCAGGCCCTTCCCTGGAGGGGCACACAGTTCAGCAAGGGCGATGAGACATACAGCAAAAGCTCTGAAAAAGAATGCCAAGCAGCCCACTTCTCTCCATGTGTTGCCTTCCACCCTCCTCCCACCAAGGCAAACCCTTCCATTTGTTCCCCAGGTCCCACCCCACCCCCAGTTCCTCTGGGATCATTGTAGGGGCCAAGAGACCCAGCCATGTGGTTAGAGGGTTGGAACTTTTAATCCACCCTTCCTTACCTCCAGGGAGGGGAGCAGGGTTGGAGGTTGAATCAATCAATCATGATTTATGTAATGAAGCCTCCATAAAAACTCCCAAAGGACTGGGGGGTTCTAAGAGTTTCCAGGTTGGTGAACATGTGGCGATATGGGCAGGGCAGAAGGGGGTGTGCCTGGTGAGAATATGGAAGCCCCCAGCCCCTTTCCCCACACCTTGCCCTATACATCTCTCCCATCTGACTGTTCTTGAGTTTTATCCTTCCATAATAAACTGGCAATCTATTAAGTAAAATGTTTCTCTGACTTCTGTGAGCCACTCTAGCAAAGTAATCAAACCCAAGGAGAGGTTTTGAAACTTTCTATCTATAACCAATTGGTCAGAAGTCTGGGCGATAACCTGGGTTTGCGACTAGCATCTAAAGCAGAATTGGGGTGGGCAGTCTTGTAGGACTGAACCCTTGACCCATGGAATCTGATGCTGCCTCCAGGTAGACAGTGTCAGAATTGAGTTGAATTGTGGGACCCCCAGCTGCTTATTGGTACAAGAAACCCCATGTACGTGTGTGTGTGTGTGCGCGCGCGCATACATGCAAACACATTGGAACTATGACCAGAACTCTTACTGTTTGTCTTGTGCAATAGCAGAGGATCCCACAGCATAGTAAATCCCCACACTTGGTTTAATGACTATTCCCATCATCATTAAATTCTTAATAGTTTTAACAAGGGGTTCTGCATTTTTATTTTACATTAAGCCCCATGAACTGTATAGCCAGTCCTACCTGAATAGCTATATTTCTACTAAGGGAATTGAATGTGCAGTTTAAAATCTTCCTACAAAGAAAACTTCAGGCCCAAATACCTTCACTGGTGCATTTTACCAAACATTTAAGGAAAAATTCAGAGTCTTCCAGAAAACATAAGAAGAGGGAAATTTTCCCAAGTCCTTTCATGAGACCAGCATTACCCTAATACCAAAACCAGCCAAAGACATAATAAGAAAAAAAAAACTACAAATCAATACATGTTATGAAACTTAATGTAAAAAACAAAATATTAGTAAATTGAATACAGCAACAAAGAAAAGGATATATATCATGACAAGTATTTTACCCTAGGGATGCAAGACTGGTTCAACTTTCAAAAGCCTAATGTAATTAATGTAATTTATGATATCAACAGACTGAAAAGGGGGACTTCCCTGGTGCTCTAGGGACTAGGGATCCATCTGCCAGTGCAAGGGACATGGCTTCAATCCTTGGCCCAGGAACCGGGACCCCACATGCCACAGGGCAACTAAGCCCATGCGCTGCAACTACTGAAGCCTGGACACTAGAGACCATGCTCGGCAACAAGAGAAGCCACCGAAACGAGAAGCCCACACTGCAATTAGACAGTAGCCCACACTTGCCATAACTTGAGAAAGCCCACACAGCAACAACAACAAAAAAACCACACAGACTGAAAAGGAAGAATCATGATTACCTTAATAGATACACAAAAGGATTTGACAAAATTCAACATCTAGTTGCAATTAAAAAAAAAAAAACTCACAGTAAACTAGGAATAGATGAGAACTTCAGTAATCTAAATAGCATCTACTAAATTCATCAACAAAGTAACATCCCATAGCTAACAACCTACTTAATGGTGAAAGTCTGAATGATGTCTCCCCTAAGACTGGGAAAAGATAAGGGTATCTGCTCACATCATGTTTAGTTAGTATGACACAAGCTGGCCTAGCCAATGAACTAAGGCAAGAAGAAGAAATAAAAGTCATATAAAAAGGGAGGGGGGAGTCAAATGGGTTGGGTAGGAAGAAATAAAACTGTATTTTTGGAAGACATAATTTTCTGCATAGAGAATCCCAGGGAATTTCTCTTTTTAAAAAACCTGGTAGAACTAATAAGTGAGTTTAGTAAGATTAAGGGATGTGAGGTCAATATACAAAAACTAATTGCATTTCTATATTCTAGCAAAAACAGTTAGAAATTAAACATTTTAAGTATCACTTATAATAGCACCCAAACAGAAAAATACTTAAGCAAAAGCCTTTAAAAAGGGTCAATATGCTAAAAACTACAAAACAATAATGAAAGAAATCAGAGAAGACAAGTAAATGGAGATATATACTATGTTCATGAATCGGAAGACTCAATATTGTTAAGACATTGATTCTCCCACAAAAATGACACAAGATTCAATCAAACTTGTGAAGTCTGGTTTGTGTAAACCCCAGTTCAGATTCCAGGTTCTCTACTTAATAGCTGTGTGATCAAAAATAACAACAGGCAAGAATGATACTTAAGATAGATTGAATTGAGCAGGGTTTCTAGTGTGTTTTTTGTTTTAACTTACTTGATTCTTTCAACAATCTTATGCAGTAGGAACCTTAATAACTGCACTTTTGACAGATGACAAAATCAAGGCCCAGTAGTCAAAGCAAAGGCATTCTGAGTGCAGAACCCACACATCACCACCATGCTGGTTCGAGCTGTCATTCATTCTGTCTCTTGCCTCATCTATAAAATAGAAAAATAGCTACTATATCAAAAAGTTGTTGTGGAGATTACACACAATGGCATAACTACAGTGCTTAGCACATAGGCTGGTACACAGTGGTGCACAATAAATGGTTGCTATTGTTTTGGTGGTGACGGTGGTGGTAGGTCTAGTTCTACTGCTAATGGAGAAGAGCTGTCTGTGTTCAGCAGCTCAGTCACCCCATTCCCAAACATGGGTGGATGCCCAAGTGTCAGCGTCTGTTGCCAGTGTTTGCATGCAAAGCCCTCAGCCCCGATCTGCAGGCAGGCAGGCAGCTCCCTAGCCTTTCCTGCTTCTGCAACCTGGACTGAGCTTCTGCCTGGCTACCTGTGGGGCGTTGCTGCCCTCTGCCGGCCACCAACTTCCCTGGCGGCACCGCACAGGGCCTTTTCAAAGCATTCCCAGGGCAGGATATTGTAGAGAGAGAGAAGGAAGTCTTTTTTTTCTTTCTCTTTTGTTATTAATTTCCTTACGCTTATTTTTTTAATTAAAGTATAGTTGGTTTACAATATCGTCTTGGTTTCAGGTGTGCTGCTGCTGTTGCTGCTGCTAAGTCGCTTCAGTCGTGTCCAACTCTGTGCGACCGCATAGATGGCAGTCCACCAGGCTCCTCTGTCCCTGGGATTCTCCGGGCAAGAATACTGGAGTGGGTTGTCATTTCCTTCTCCAATGGTTTCAGGTATATAGTACAGCAACTTGTTTATGTGTATGTATGTGTATATACATATATATGCATATATATGGCTTCCCTGGTAGCTCAGCTGGTAAAGAATCTGCCTGCAATACAGGAGACCCAGATTCAATTCCCTCTGGAGAAGGGAATGGAAACCCACTCCAGTATTCTTGCCTGCAGAATTTCTTGGACATAAAAGCCTGGTAGGCTACAAGTCTATGGGGTTGCAGAGTCAGACACAACTAAGCGCACACACACACACACACACACATGCATGCACACACCACACAATATAGATAGACAGATAGATAGATTCTTTTTCAGAGTCTTTTCCCTTATCAATTCAGTTCAGTTCAGTCGTGTCTAACTCTTTGCAACCTCATGGACTGCAGCACACCAGGCTTCCCTGTCCATCACCTACTCGCAGAACTTGCTCAAACTCATGCTCATCAAAGTCAATGATGCCATCCATCTCATCCTCTGTCATCCTCTTCTCCTCTTGCTTTCAATCCTCCCCAGCACCAGGGTCTTTTCCAATGAGTCAGTTTTTCACATCAGGTGGACATAGTTTTGGAGCTTCGGCTTCAGCATCAAGTCCTTCCAATGGATAT